GAGTTCTAGTATTTAGACTAATATTGAAATAGTCATTTGGCTGAACAGCATCCAGACCCGTTAGAATCTTATAGACCTGAATCATATCCCCCCTTAGCCGCCTTTGCTAAAAGCTGAACAGATTCAGTTCCGCTAACCTCTCCTCGTAAGACATTCCTCTAAGAGGAATAACAGATGAGGCTCTAAGAGGTTTTGCAGGCTTTTGTTTTTTTTCTCACCTCTCAGACCACCTGCAACAACAAGTGAGCCTTGTGGCCTCTTGCAGCATGAAGCAGGCTCTAGCAGAAGCTGCGAGGGGGGGGGAAGCGATCTTCAGTGTGGCAGCCCAGAAGGGCACTCTGGTGCGCTCGGTAATGCTGGAGGACAACAAAGGAAATTTCCCAGCAAGCCCAGTTTGGAACTGCAGGCCCTGTGATGAGATGCTCATCTGTTAACCTTATGGGACAAGGGACCACAAGGCACTCTTCTGCCCCGAGCCAAGAAGACATTGCCGCAACTTGGGATCACAGCAAGCTAGACGAACGGTGGAAGCAGAGCCAGCAGGACTGGGGAGCAGCTGTGCAAGTCCTCCTGGTGTGTGGAGCAGGAGTGGTGCAGCTTGGAGAAGAGACACAGTGAGAGGGGATGGCAATAGGCAAGAGGGACGGTCCCTGAGGCCGATTCCCCCACTGGCCGCCAGCAGCTCGGCTTTGCCAGTGGTCTCCAGCTGCTCTGGGCTCCCTAGCAGGTGGCTTCCACAGTTACCAGAGCCTCTCAAAAGTCTACCTGGACAGCTGTCTATGTCACCTGCAGGAATGCCTGGTCCTGACCATACCCTACTACTTTTGTTTTTGCTTTATTGCTGATTTTTGTTATAAATTTATTGTCTATTTATATGTTATCCTTTTGCTGCATTTATTTTCTACTGAACGAAGAAATTTCACCCCCACAGGAGTCTTATAATTATACAATTCTGGTGATGATCATAATAATAATAATAATAATAATAATAATGAAGTGGAGGTGAGGCCAGAAACAGACGCTCGGACTGGAGGGAGACACCAACAATGACATCACTCCACTCTACAGCCACCGAATCATGCCTCAGTGTTGCCTCTAACACAGTGAGACAGGCAGACAGGTAAAAAGAAGAATGAAAGCACTCCTTACAAAGAGCTCCGACAGACATCAGCGACAGGGCCTGATACCAGGGCCTGATACAGATTTAAATAAACCTGTCAATTCATAATACACTTGTCCCACGTCTCATATTTCTAGCTATCGATATTCTTGCTTTGTTTCTTCCATTCTACCTACCAGCCAAACGATCCTTAACATTCACTGTAGAAAGATGTTGGCCTCTGGTGACAGAAAGCGCAAACAAAACAAAAATATGCATATGCCAAGGGCTGTGGTTTGCAAAAAAAGGTATCGAGCTGTTTCCTTTCTTGAAAGGACGAGACCTCAGCCTACCTCATTTCCGTGTTTCGGCTCCATTTGTTTATTTCACAGCTTTTGTGCTTCACGTTGTTGAACCGCCGGAAACATTTGTGACGTTTTCACTTGTGTTAAACTATGAAAACCGTTATGCCTGCAGCCGAAACAACATCAAATGCCCTTAATGAAAATAACATTTCATTTATTTAAAAATAGCAAAAAGTTGTAAACAAAATACAGAAGAACATTCAAACGTCAAACTCTAAACAAATACAAATCAATCTAAGAATGTCACTGAAATGATTACTTTGGAATGAAATGTTTTAAAACGTATTTTAAAAGTGCGTGTGATGAAAGCGCTTATATTTAAGCATGTGTTGGAAAGCACTGGCTACAGTGGAATCACAATAAGCACTGTACATTCAAGGTACATATTTTTTTTTACACAAGAGCAACTATAAGAGTCTTGCAGAGGTGATTTCAGACGATCTTGAAATGACTGAACTCCTTCTCTCTGACAGTTCAGTGGAAAATGACCTGCACCTCGAAAAGCAAACTGGCAACCAATTCTGCAACAATTTCAGCACAAGTCGCTTAAACTTCTGGCCTACAAAAGCATAGATGACTGGGTTCAGACAGCAGTGCGTAAAAGCCAAAACTTCTGTTATTTTGAGAGACCATTCTAAATTGTTGTAGGCATCACAGTTTGCAAAGTACCCCAAGTATTTCAGGGACATCAGGAAGGTAACGAAATTGTAAGGAGTCCAAAAAAGAAAAAACAGTATGACTATTAAGAGTACAAGCTTGATGGCTCTGTGTTTCTTGTTCGTTTTTATGGAGACCAAAGTGGGGATGATTTTTGCATAACAATACGTCATAACAACAAGAGGAATTATAAATCCTAAAATATTTAGCTCATAATATGTAACGATCCGCAATACGTTATCTTGTGGAAATTCAGTTTTACACGTTATGGTGGATTCGTTTTTAGTTTGCGAGAAGACCATACTGGGCAAGGAGGCAAGTAAGCTGACAAGCCATACAACTGCAGTTAGAGCGCTGCCGAGTCGAACCGACCTGTGTTTAGCCAGTGTGAGAGCGTGGACAATAATCAGGTAGCGATCCATGCTCATGATGACCATGAAGAAGATGTTCCCGTAAAAACCCATCAAGTACAAAAAGGAGACAGCTTTGCACATAAAGTCCCCGAAGCCCCACTCGCCGGCGGCAAGATAACGAGTCCAGAAAGGCAGACTGATCACGAAGAGCAGGTCGGACACAGCCAGGTTCAGAAGACAGATGTCTGTCATGGTGTTCATCCTCTGGTACTTGACCACGCAGACCACCAGCAAATTGCCGATGAAGCCGAAGATAAAGACAAAGCTGTACAGCGTCGGCACGAACACGGTGGTAAATGCGATCACGTTACCATTGTTGCAGAGCATAGAAGTCTGTTGAGGAGTATCCGAATAGTAATCGGAATAGTCGTAGGATGTCGTGTTCTAGAAAAGAATACGGTGCAATTATCATCTGTGTCTTTCATTTGAGTATTTCCACACGCATAGAAAAAAAGCCAGAATAGTTAACTTAACCCCCATAAATAAACAAATACATGAATATTTAAGTGATATCATTATTTGATATTTCCGGATCCAGACATTTTAAGGATCGGGTTTGCATTAATTAAAATCTATTCATTAAAGTAATTAAAAGCAAATTGCAAAGTAAAATTTGCTCTTTCCAACATAATTTACTGGGATTGTTCAAGCCCTATTGTGCCAGCAGAACAACTGAGAAATGAACCAGCGGGGACTTAAGGCAGGTAAGGTTGTACCGCCACCTGCTGGCACTTAGTGGCTAAAGTTGCATTCGCATATTCTGCCGGGTCGGTTGGAAGACGTGCACTCCATAGGCTAGAAGTCGTTACAGGATGGATGAATGGACGAAAATACAAGTTTCTCTTTACAGCTAGTAAGAATTCTGCATTTATAAATCCTGCCAATAATTTATTGCCAATCTGCCACTAAAAAAAATCAGAACATTTTTCTTAGCTAGTTTGAATTTGTTGCAGCATGTTCACAGTCAAATATTCTGCAAATACAAACATTTAGCTAAAACATATACGGTTGTGCTTTTATATACTGTATGACTTATGTATCTACTTTATTCATTTTGGGTAAAAGGTTTAAATTAAATCTAAATAATTTTATTTGCTTTCAACTTAATCTTTATTTTTTGCTATGTATGTTGGATTCCTCCTAATCAGTAAGATTTAATAAATAATAATATTTATGATTTTAATAAATAAAAGTTTTAATAAATTTGAATAGAAATACACTCACCATTATGGCTGTTGTTCTATGTCTGCTTCATGAGTTGAGTATAATTTGCCGAATGCGTGCTTAAGCGCATAAGTACTTTTGCAATTTCCTGACTTTCCAAAAAAGGAGCTGTAGAAAAAAAAAGTGTTTTTTTCTGAGTTCAAATTTGACTAATGTAAATATATGAATAAAGTTCATATGAAGATAGAACACGATATAACAGTCATTCATGCTCAGTAACTGATAAAAATAGATTAGAAGGTGAATCCTTCAAAAAACAATATTGTAACACCATTACTGTAAATCTAATCAGAGAACACAACACCATCACTTAGCGCGTCCTGTGATCACTGCAGTTGTGTGCACATGTTGGCATCTAAAAGTGTACTTTATTCTAGAAAATACATGCTTAAAAATGACAATTGTTTTGAACACACAACTTAGTGAATGATAGGATCCCTAGATAAATATATAAAAGCAGATTCGAAGCTAATGCAAGTGATTTATAAATCTGAGATTACATGTGCCTTATTGAAGTAATGTGGTTAGAATGATGGGCATTCCACTTTAGGCAAAGTGTGATCGAATATAGTAAATATAATTGACACATGACCGTATAGTTAGTTTCGACATAGTTAGTTTCGACACAGATGTTCATCTGGAAGCACATAATGATGATACAGGAGGTTGGTGTTGTCTTTATCAAGTGTATGTGTGTGTGTGTTCACCCTGATTACTTAAGGACACAATACTCCAGGGCTTATTTACATAACAGAAAATTAAACTCCTGAAGGCTAATTTTACATATTATCCAATAAAAAGGCTTTCCGGCCCTTTCAAATGAACAACTAAATAAGTATAATCTTTACATTTCTAATGAGATTTATTGTTTTGAGGCAATATAATCACAAACACAAGGAAATCGGTGATACGATATGCTTCATTTGTCTGCTTGTGGTTTAGCAGGTTGCATTGCTGTTTAACACCACCGTGGGCCATTTTTGTGTGTGGCTTTCACCTTCAGCATCGTTGACTTGCATTTTCATCACCGTCCGAATTGCACGTGTGTCCACGTATGTCCAGTCATTAAATTCGGCTGTTGCATTATAGACCTTTTTGACATTGTCTAGTATTGTCTTGCACTGTCTGCGTTGTTTAGCATTATCTGTACTGTTTTTCACTGCCGTTAGACTTGTGTAACCAGATGTGGTTGAATGGGTAGCCATTCCAATTTACATGTTGCATATGGGCAATAAAGATCTTAAATTTTGGGGGGGGGAGTCGAATATACGTCTGTGCGGAGAGTACAACTGCCCTTTCATCATCCTCAGACGGGTCAGTCTAGAATCTTCCATTAATGCTTTCTTGCTGAGAATATGCCCTTCACAAGTCCCAATACAACATATCATTGTACTCCTCTGCACCAATGAGAATTCAGATTTAAATTAACCTACTAGATCAAAGTGTGATATCCTGTCTGTCTGAAAACAGACAGAGTTCATAATATCGAGAACAGTCCAGAGATTCCAAAATCAAATAAATAAGTGACTAATGATTAAGCATTCGGGTTTTCTGACATTTTCTGACATTTTTTTTGCAGGCCAATGTCGACACGTTGAGTTATTCAGTGCTCAAAGAGGAAGAGAGTGCTTTTGAAGCTGTTACAGTCATGCATTATTGTTAATTTGGAAAATGAAATTGTATGTGTGAATAAGAAAAAAAGAGGTGTTAATGTTCTAAGCCTTTCCTAGAATTCTGTATATGTCCATTGCACAATAGATATTTCACACTTTACATGCTCGAAGCAATTTACAGATGCTAGCTTACTGAGCCATGTGCTTTTGGGCAGCGGGAGGGAAATATGCCACCAGCACACATGCCGGAACCATGGGAAACTGGCCGCTGCCCCTGGAGACGTGTGACTATAGCCCTGACCATCCAGTGCATATATTAAAATTATTATGACACAAGTTTTCATCATAATAAAACATAAAGAAAGAAATACGAACTGCATTTAACACTCTTTAAATTATAATAAATACAACATTGACTTACAGGAATCTTTCAGTCACGATAAATAGAATTGTAAATAAATGTAAAGTAATGTTTAACACAACAGTGTCTTTGTGATGTTTCCTGGGTTCATGGGATGTTTTGGGTCTCACAACATCATACACCCTCAGCCTAGAGACCCAGTGAGCCCAGATCAAGTCCCGACTTGCATCCCAGCGGCATAAAGTAACGATTCACCCCCCTTGATCTACAGCTATCTGGAAGTTCCTTCTGCTGCCTCTGTCACGGTCCCGATGACTGTCCTTCTGAGTGCCCCACTCATGAGTGGCATGGTGTGGTTTCTGTAGAGAGAGCAGCCGGCAAAACCTCAGCAGCCTGCATCAACTGGATGGCGATGTGCTCGCCACCCCTGTCTCTGGCAATCCTCCAGAAGCCCCTGGTACTTGGTCAGCTTCCTCTCAAAAGCCTGCTTGATGCGATCATCTCAAGGCACGGTCACTTCTATCAGGGCAAGCTGTTTTGAAGTCTCTGACAGAATGACAATGTCTGGTCGCAATGATGTTCCCATGATATGTGCCAGAAACTAAATTTGCTTGCCTGGACTTACCATTATCTCTCAGTCCTGTACAGTAGAATTGGCTTTGAAGGCATAGGCTTGGATTGAAGGCATAGGCTTGGATTAGGAATATAAAGCTATGGGGCTCTGCTCACCAGATGTCCGCCCAAGTGAGCCTTCAATCCATCATACTGTCCAATCTCATCCAAGCTTCCTGCTGCCTCATGCCTGCAATCCTGCTGGTTCTTTCCTCATCCATTACCTATCTCACCTCTTCCTGGACAAGCAGGACCTTGTTGTAGTAAAGCACTGGAAAGCTGCCCAATCCTGATCTTCCCGTTCCATTGCCCCCACCACAGCCCTGTGCTTCCCCCTTGCTTCTGCCATCTCCAGCTCCCACTGGTCCAGATCTCAATGCCTGCCGCTGAGACTTTGGGGTCGTTGGAGTCCCTGTACTGCAGTGCATCTCTTGCAGTGCAGACCTTAAACTCCTCCATGATGCTGTTGACAGGAAGCTGCAGAATGTTGTTTTTCCCGTACACAGCTGCACCGCTCACACTACGAGGTCCATCTGCAGAGTTATTCATTGATTCACCTCTAAATTAAATATCCCAGCTTCCATGTAGTGGGAGTCTATAACAGGGCATACAACTATTTAAAATAAAAATGTTGCTTATATACCACCTTCCTTATATACAGAGCTTGAGTTTTCTCATTTTTACTACCAGAAATATTGTGATGCATTTTAAATTACAGACTTATAGAGACCTCTGTTGATACAGTTTTCACCTGCATGGGTGAGCAATAAAATTAAATTTAAGGTTATTTATTCTTTCATTCTGCAATACTGTGCAAGAAACTAATACCTTTATTTCTAATGACTATGTGTTTTCTCAGATAGTATGACTCAAAATTCTCAAGAACATTAGAGAACTAGATGCTAACCATCACTTTCTAAATTATTTTTAAATGTTTTAATTGAAACTGGGATTCCTTTTTAAAACTTACAAGAAGCTCGCTGAAACGCTCTGAGCATAGCAGGGGAATAATAGATGGATCCATTTCGGGGGAAAATTACAATAAAAACAAAAAAGAATTTCCTCCCTTTTCCAAAGATTTATTGATAACTCCTTGGATTGCTAGATGAACACCACTATTGTTTAGCCAAACAATGTGGACTAGTGTTGGAGCCCGTAGGAGTTTGGGTGCAAAGAAAACAGAGCCAAGAATGCCAGTAACCTGAAAATACGGGACGGGACCTTTTGTTAAACACCACGGAGAAAAAAATCGACCACTTTCAGAAGAAGTCGCCCCCAGAGCCCAGCCAAACACACCGCCACGTCATATCCCCGCAAATCCTTAAAGAGACAGACACGTACAGTGCAGGCACTAGCCCACACTGCTTTCTGGAGACCATATAAGATAAACTTGGACGCCACTAACCACTGCAATGCTCTTCTACCTAGTTAAGAAAGACCATGCAGAATGTCAAACGCTTTTGTCAGCCCTTGGGGACAACAGGTCTAGGATGACCTGTCCACACATCGCACAACAGTGTGATTGATGTCCATGTCACTAAAAAGAACATCATCCAAGTTCAGGTCTGTCACTGTCATTCTTTAGGCTCAGATGTTAGTGTCAGAGGAGGAGGAAAGGAGCATGCACTGATTACAGTGTGTTTGCCGCACCCATCACACGACAAACCACCTCAAGGATGAGAATCTGAGTGAAGCCATGTGACAGGTGACACCTCAGCACCACACTAGTCTGAATATAGTACTGTATAACACTTAGTGAACATAATCAGAAGGACAATATTGACAGAACGCAAAAAAAAAGAGGGGACAGTTTACAGTTTTTCTCAAATGCTAAAACACAAAAGCCAATCCTCTAAACCAAATGACCAGTTGTCTAAACACATTTACTAAATCTAGCCATCATTTTCCAATATCATAAACACATTTCACATGAAGACACAATTCACAAAACACAATCCCAAACAGGTATTGTACTCTATTGCTGTCTTTGTCACAATACAGTTTTACAACCCTGTGAAAGTAGTCTATTGGTTTCAAATCAGTTGTTATTGCAAAACATGTCAATTGACAACACATGTTTCTTTCTTTAGAGTTGAAAGAATGCCACATA